TGGGAACAGCGCTGGGGAATTGGGGGAAGGGGAACAGACAAGTTGCTGTCCTTTTGTTCTTCAGTCTAGTTGTGGAGGACGTTGCTTCACTGGCCCAAGTTGGCACCATCATTGCGCTCTTCCCAGGTGAGGCAGATCAGTCGCCGGCTTCTGGGCGGCCACTCATGGTGGCTGCTGGCCGCTCACGCTGGCTACTGGCTACACATGGTAGCCCATGGCAACCCACTGCAGCAGGGGCTGCAGCCTACACCGTTGCTGGTGACTCACGGCAGCCCAGCTCCAGGTTGAGCTGTTGTTCAGCATCTTAGCTGTAGAGGGCAGTGTCACTGGCCCTCATATGTGGGATCCGAACCAGGGCCCTCTGGCGTCCCAAGCCAGCTCTTAACCATCGCGCCACTCGGCCGGCCCAGACCTTGTATATTGAGTATTACAATTCTAACACAGTTTTCCTTTCTTTTTTTCTTTTAAAGATTTTATTGGATAATTGGGGGAGGAGAACAGCGCTGGAGAATCAGGGGAAGGGGAACAGACAAGTTGCTGTTGTTTTGTTCTTCACTCTAGTTGTGGAGGACGTTGCTTCACTGGCCCATGTTGGTATTATCATTGTGCTCCTCCTGGGTGAGGCACATCAGTCGCTGGCCTCTGGATGGCTGCTCACAGTGGCTCACGCTGGCTGCCGGCCCCACACGGTAGCCCATGGCAACCCACTGCAGCAGGGGCTGCAGCCTATGCCGGCGCCAGCGACTCATGGAAGCCCAGCTCCAGGTTGAGCTGTTGTTCAGCATCTTGGCTGTGGAGGGCCCATGTGGGATCTGAACCGGGTCCCTGCTGCTCAGAGCTGGCACCCCAAGTCAGCTATTAACCAACGCACCACTCGGCCGGCCCCAGTTTTTCTTTCTTAAAATGGGTATACATTTTCTTGGCACCCTCTTTATATCTAACATGTATGGCCAGAATTTGCTGTTTAGGAAATGTTAACTCAGTCCTTATATTTGTTACAAATATTTTCTTCAGTATTTTCCCTTGTAGTATTTTGATTTTAGCATACATCATTTTTAATTTTAAAGAATAATTTTCCTTTCAATTTCCAATTTTTAACCTTATAAAGACAATAGCATAATGACTGAGATCCTGGGTCTTGTAATCGGACAAGCTGGTTTTTTGAATCTGGACTCTGCCACTGACAGGGAAAACCTAGACTTTATGGCGCCTCTGTGACTCAGTTTCCTTTCCTGTGGGACAGACAGGTAGACAGGCCAGGCTGGAGATGCACATTGGCGGATTCCCTCCAAGATTTACTAAATGTCTAGCCAGCACATTTGCAGGCTGTATTTCAGAGACGAATGGGGGGTGGAAATAAAAGCACAAACTTCACGCCACAAAGTTTTACAACACCACCACCTAGTGGCAATCACGCAAAATCACATCTGCAATGCCCCACAGTTAAGGATGGGAAAATATGGCAAAACCAGCATAGAAAATAAAAGTGAAAACTCAAATCAAATTATCTCCTTCGTTATTCAAAAGCAAATACCCTATCCTGTTTCCCCAGCAACTACTGCTTCACCTCCTAATGGTTTGAAATCCCCTCTCCCCCCCCTTTTTTTCTTGGGTATCATCAAACAAAGTGTCCAGTCATTGGAAAAAGTGTGCTTTTTAAGGATTGGTCCAGCAGCAAGATCACGGCTCGTGGATGATGCCCATCTCCATTAACTAGATATTCCAGATTCACTTGGTGCACACTCTTCTCCAGAGACTGACCCACTCAGGCCGATCCGTGCGCTTCTGGAAGGTGTGGGTCAGGACCGTGCCCGGGTGCGACAGTGTGGTGCATGTAAAGACATTTGCTTTTGCAGAGCTGGGTCCACTCCCAAGGCAAACACTGCTCTGGCTGTGTTTTCCAGGGCATATGACTAGGAGCTGGTTTCTTGTCTGCAGAATTTGGAGGACGCCGTCTCCTTGCAGGGTGGCTCTGGGCGGGGACTGCACAGGTGTGTTCCCCTGTCGGCCATATTGAGTCTCCAGGCTGAACCCTGTCCTGTCCCGACAGCTGCTGAAGTGTGCTCACTGGGTGTCTTTGCTATGGGTGCTTTCTCTCCACTCCCAGGATGGGTCTCACATTCTAGCATACTTTATGTCCCTCCCATTTTCAGTATATTTTTACATCTTGATGTTTGAGCTTGGACCCTCCCTCCATTCACTTTGACCCTAGATCCTTTCCAGGAACCTATAGAAAGTAGTGGAGGAAGGCGGACCATGACACGTCACTCTAACTTCAGAAGTGTGACTTGAACTGCGTATTAAAAAAATTTCCAAACCCAACAAGTTGGAAGTGTTATTTATTCAAACAAACCAAACTCTTTCATTTCCTTTTCCATATACTCTTAAATTGGGAGAACATACAAGTATAAAAATAATATACAAGTATAAAAATAAGAGGCTCTTAGAAAACTCCAGTTTTGAAGGGCACAGTAATTTGAACTTGGTTGTAGAGTCACTTCCAAGATGGAGCCAACACCTCTTTACTCCGACTCTTGGTCCTATCACAACTGTAATTTGAATAAACGCAGCGTCCTCAAAATAGAGGAATATTCCAAAAGAGAAATATCAAATGATATTAAGCCTTTTCAAAAATACAAGTTACACTTACACTTAAGAGTTGTGTATTAAAGGCTGTTAACCTGGGATACACATATCAATGCATTTTTGCAAAGTGTGACATCTAGCATTTGTTTCAGGGAGAGGTTTGCAGCTCTTCCGCCAGCACAGAATCACTGCTAATCTAGGATCAAAGTCCTCCTTTTTATGAAAAAAAAAAAATGAGTGGTTGCTTTCAATGCCTGAACACAGGAATTTAAAACTTGAAGAATATGTAATGGTACAAATTAACGGCAGTAGTAGGAGGTACAACATTTTCAACTGCAAACATTCAGCTTTATTACATGATACGTTTTATTCTCTCTCCTCTCATCGGTACTAATTCCAACACTAAATACCATTTCCAACCTCAGTGATGAGAACATTATTACATCTACAATTAGGAAAGTTACAAAGAAAGTTCCACGCTGGTACTGCTAGCAACAAAGAACACAAAATTGTATGAGAAATCAGAGTTAAGGGAGTTTACTTTTGGTGGTTTTCATTATAGAATAATAGAGCCTTAATTAACTGATCATTTTTTCTCTCTCTCTCAAAAAGATAATGTTTTAATGTTCTCTTAACTTTCATCCAGCAGCATAAACTTCAAAAATGTGAGGTTCATGTGAAATTTCACTCCAACAGATAAAATGAAGCTGAAACCTTAGTGAAATCAGCAACCTGCACACATAGCACATCATCTAACAGAGAAAAAAAATAAGACCTGTCTGTTGGAGACCCTGGCCTTCTCGTGATGTTCTGACCTGTGCTTGCATCATGAATAAAAATACATCTATTCCGACTGAAACGAAGAAAATTCTGTGGACAGACATCACTGCTGAAAGAGGCTAGGTTTCAAAGGTGCTCAAGCTTTCAAGTCTCCTTTTGGGGATGCCGGTAAGATGACAGCTGGGCTCAACTTCCATGAACTCTATTTTATAAGTCTATAATTTGGAATTACATAATTATACATCTTTATTGGCAAAATGTGCTACTCAGATTGATCTGCGCGGGGTACACCTGTGTGGAACCTACAATTTAGACTTCACCCAGTTGCTCCTATACAAATGATTTTCCATCTGTAAAGGGAACTACCCACTTCCATCACTGCCTCATAAGTATGGGCAAACTCGGTCCAGCTGACATCTAGGCACCAGACAGATGCCTTAGCATCACACCCTGCTTGTATCCTGAGGTGCTCGCTGGACACATCCAGGATCATTGCTCTGGTAGTGGTGTCCCCACAAGCACCCGGAGGCTTCATATAGGATAGATGGGGCCCTGGGTCGTCTGAGGGAAGGTGCCCTGGGGTCACTCTTGCCGTGGGCTGGATCTGAGTTTATTAGGAACCTTTATGTGCCTCTTGGCCCAGCCCGCAGCTACTGCAGCTACATTACACAGTACAATGCAGTTTAGAAACACTGGACATCTGCATGTAACACCTATTATAAGAAACGCAGAGAAAGCTCAGGGGCGGGTGAGAAATCACCGTATGGATTGAAGTGTGTGTCTGCGTGACACTCGTATTTAATCCGTCATGAAGGGGACAGCACACACTGATGTCCCTAGGAGGCCCGACTGCTCTTGCGTCCACATTCCACAAATATGGCTGACTGCTGCGTCAGGCTGTCTTCACGGGCCCAGGATGACAATCTCACCAGGGTGCTTGCCCAAGGCTGGCAGCTGTGCTTTGCGTTCACTAGACTCACCCGAGGCTACTGAACGGCACTGACTGAATCGCACCAGGTGAGTTCCAGGACGGCAGTGGACCTGCAGGGCAGGGAGTGGCCCAAGGGCCACAGTGATGCACAGTGACATGGGGGAGCCTGGTCCCCCTCACGCTCTTCTTTCTGGAAGTGTCTCTGGAAGGTGTCCCCAGAGGGAGTGTGGTGAGGAAGCACGGAGCTCTCTGCATCAGAGGGCTGGCCCAGCAGGCTTCAGTGGAAATGGCTGCGTCCGAGTTGCTCCCGCTTTCAATGCGACTATCAGGGCAGCTGCTGCCAGGGGCCCTTCTGAGGGGCTCAGACCCCAAGGGAACTTAGCCACGGCCCCTTTGGCTCCAGACTCTTGACCCTGCCCTACGACTGTCCAGTGCACAACCCTGACCTGCAGCCGAAGAACTGTGTCTCTTTGGAAGATCAGACATCTCTAGTTTTGGTAGAACAGGTGTTCTAAATAGGACTGCAGAGCACGTCTCTCTGCGACAAATTGTAAATCCTGAGGTTCCTTTGAAAAATTCCTAAAAAGCAGGCTATGCAAAAAACTTGGGGTGAAATGGGTTGCCTATGACATCCTGGAATGTTCTTAGCTTGTCCACACTTTTGTGGTAATTTGCTGGCAAAGGGATGTGATTTCTTACCTTGCCTCCCTCCCCAGATTCTAGAATTTTCCAAGTCCCAACCATCCTCTTCGTGCTGTTCTTTGCATGAAGCAATCTTCACCTGGCTTGGGTGATGCAGTGTCAGGGCCACCTTCTCTCCCTTTGTACGTGCTGACGTTGGCCATGTGACTCCAGCTTGAATAGTCCTGAAATTTGGGGCTTGGGGCTTGGGACATAAATTTCACCCCCCACTGATTCAGCAACCTTAACGGCCAAAGAAATCTGAGGATCTCTGGAATGAGCCACTTTCCCAAAACAGTGAATTCTGCTTCTTTTGTCACATATTTTTGATAATTTTTTATTTTCCTCCCCTGATTTCAAAACGTATTTTTCCTGTTTGCTGTTTAATTGGTAAAATGGCCATAAATTCAAATCCAAAATCCTTAAAACCCACCAAAAATGTACACAATAACTTCTGTTGCATGCCGTTTTCTTGGCACTAAATACCTAGGATTGCTCTTGGCAAAACTCCTGATTTTTATATTTTATGGCGTTTAGTTGTTTTTCCTAAAAAAGAAAAAGAAAATCTTAGTGGCCAGTTTTTCCCTCTGAACAGTCCTGAAGTCAAGTCTAATAAGTTTGTGCAAGAGAAAACACACTGGGATTCCACCCGATTATTTGGTTTCCACAAATAAGGATAAAGTCTGTGAAACTCGATTATTGCTGCTGACGGAGCAGGCTGTTGGCAGTGATGTATTCCCACTGACATCGCGTGGCACGACGCCAAAACTCAGAACCAAACCATGCTGGGCAGCTCCCCCATGTGGGGGCCCAGTAAGAGGAAATGAACAAATTTTCACTCTCGTGGGGGAACCTATTAAACAATGAAATACTCCTTCCCTGCCTGTTAAATGAGATAATGCAATCAATCCCCAACCAACAACTGCTTTGCCAAATCTAGGACGCAGAGCTCTGTGGAGTGAATGCTGCATCGCTGGGAACTACTTTTATCATTTTGAACCATGAATAACCCCCCACCATTTCTCTCTTGACCAAAACCTCTGCGTTTCATGATGAATCAGCTAAAATCTTTCCGAGTGTCCGGACCTCTGCTGTCACATGCAAGGAATACATTTCCTTCATACCAGGAACTCGTTTTAGGGTCAGAAGAAATAGAAGACAGTGTGTGGGAAAGGCCAGATGGCCTGGCGCCAATCACTTGCGGGGCTTTTAAAATTCCCGAGGAAAAAGATGGGTTCAGTCCTTATCTCATTTCTTTTTATTTTTCAGAAACAGTTTGAGTTGCTGAAGACAGGATTTCATTTCAGGCTTCCGAATAGCTCATCAGGAATATAAAGCATTGCCCTATTTAAAAAACATATTGTTCGTGTAGAAGCATCCATTTCCCATTAGAGAGCTGACAAGGTCTTGACAAGCTAATGCTAAGTTGCATTTTTTTTCAGGAAAGAACCATCTTCCAGCATTTTCCACAGTGCTTTACCGGGTAAAAAAATTTGACACCCTCCAATGGTTGCTACCTCCTTTCCTGCTCAAAGCCAGCCTCCTGGAAAGTTTTCCAAGCTAAGTCTCAATTTACATAGCTCGAGGAAGTGGGTGTGGCTAACAGGGTTTTGACTCCAAGTCCAATTTGCAGCAGCGAAGCATGCCAGGAAAATGTCCCACTTTCAATTGTCTGTTTCACTCTTGCTGCTAAATTATGCTTTTGTAATTTAAGTATTTTCATTAAAATGTCACGTCCAATGACAGCAAAGATGAAAAGGTAGAGAAATTTGATAGGAAATACAGAGAATTATAGCACACTTCATTCAAACACCCTAGCTTGAAATCGAACTTGCTATTATCATGTATTCTGGGAACAGTGTCTGCTAAGCGGCTGTGATAGAAATGTTCCGCGCGCAGAAACCTAACACGGGAAAATGGAACAGGAGCGGCCTGCACGAAGAAATGAGCAAAACCAACCAGCCCATACCTGCAATTCCTTCCTTTTATTCCAGGGGCTTGGATTTTTCACAGCAAGGGGACAGGCACAGCAAGAGGTGTTGCCTTCACTTCTGTGTCAAGTGGCCCACAAAACAGGAACCAATGAAAAAGCCAACAGGACAAAAAGAAAATGAGACTTGCAGACATTTCTAACTCTGAAATGCATTTAAAATGATTGCTTCTCAATTAGCTGAGACCAGATGTGATAATGAGCCTCTGATAACAGGATTTCCTCCTGCCATCCCATCCCTAGAGGGGGATGCTCGCACTGTATTTTGAAGAACACCTAAGATTTATGTTCTCCTCCACAAGTACCTGTGAGAGTTGGAGAGTCTTTCAGGACACCTCCACACGTATAAGTGACCCAGCCTCTCTTTGGCGTGGTCATATATTCCTCAATATGGAGGTGGCCCTGGGATCCAGTGAGCGGAGCAGATGGCTGAAACATCCACATGCAGCCTGTCTTGAACACACATAACACTCCAGCCGAAGGAGACACTCCACAGTTAGCCCTTCCAGTGGAATTTTATTATATACCCAACTCATCGCAATAGCAAAGCAAAGTGAACATTGAACTTGGCACAGGAACAAGAGAGAAAGGATTCTGGCTTTGAACCCTTCTCCTAATCACAACAGATCACATGAAGCTGATTACATCAACTTACAGATTTCTGCTTTTCTCTGGCAAAGGCCTCAAAGGATAGCAAGAGGGAGTTTCCCCAAATAAGGATCCGACGGCACACCCACGTCGGCACCAAAGATTGAACATGTCAAAGAGAAGAAGCAGGTGGGTCAACCGCTCAACAAATCATATTTGCTTAAGCTGATTCAGATGGGCGTGCTTGACTTTAGGAGGTTGTGCAAATGGAAACACATGATTCCAAAACACGGGAATAACTAGAAGTTCCCACCGAGTCCTCTGTAGGTCTTGTATCTTCTTCCTTCCTGGGCCTTTAGCCATTTCCCAAAAAGATAACAATCAACCTACCTTCAGAGAAGATTTGGAAAAAGAGGCAACTAAACTATTGAAATGGAATTTGTTTTTCTCACTGAAACGCTGTTTTTTTAATTTTAAGTAAGAGTAAGCACATGAGCTAATGACCAGCATGGCGACAGAACTCCATGTGCGGTTCAGCACCTGTTCTGTCTGGCCTGTTGGAATGAGGATCCTTTTAGGTGAGGGTAACAGCTGGACCCCGGCTGCCTGCACCCCCACCCAGGCACAGGACCCTGGGCAGAATCTCAACAGAGGTAGTTTTTTCACTTTTATACCAACAATACTATGGAAGTATCGAGTACAAAACAGTAGGTTTCCTTTCCGCTCCACCATGATGGGCAGGCAGTCTTTCATCTTCAGAAGAGGCTGGTGAGGACCTTTGGGTGATGGTCTCCTCTGAGTGATGGTCTCCTCTGAGTGGATTTTTCTCCCATCCAGGACACAGGGAGACCCAGAAAAGGGGCCTGCGGCTGTGTCTCTGACTGAGAAGGGGGCAGGATGGTTATGTCACCAAGCCCCAGGTGGCTTCTCCTGCCATGGTATCGTGAGCCTTCTTGTACCACTCGGACCCTGGTTGAGGCCCGACGCAAAATACCATTCAATGCAATGAACGCACAAAGCTCCCCGTTAGCTACAAGGAGTTATAAACTACATGTGCTCATTTCTCCAGAGACCGGAGGAAGGAGAACTAGCCACGGCTGCTTTTTTTACTTGGTGGCACATCTAGACAGTGTCGTATACCAGTCACATAAAGCCTGAAGCCCAATGCACTCTGTTTTGGTTTAGAAGGGTGTGTTTTTTATTGTCGTTTTGTTGGAAGTAGGGAAGAAGAAGAGAGCTTTAAAATCAAGAATCAAAATACAGTGAATGCGGAAGGCATCTGAGAGCAGCACAGACTTAAGACTAGTGGACATAGGAAGAAACGTTGCCTTTTAACCCCTGCCTGCTGCACTTGAAATTTAATTGTCTTAATAGTTGAGTTCAAGGTTGCTTGAGTTCAGGCTTTGCTCCTTATTTCCAGCGATGCCGGACAAGAGAGGACTCATCGCTGACCACCTCGGGGTCTCGCGGGAGGTGGCGACACCGGAACGGAAGGAGGAGCAGGATGATTAAGATAAGAAGGATGATGCCACACACGCTCATGAGAGTATAGGAGACGATCCACAAAATGGGCTCATTCAAAGGCAGGGTGGGGACACAGTTGCTGGCTACGTCGTCTGTTGAGAAAGGCCCAGAAATTTCAGACACCGGAGCACCTGCGATTTCTGAGGAGACAGAAGGGGAAAATCCACAGCTATGAAATGAGCAGTCCACCTCTAACATATTGCCCAAGACACATCCCATGCTTCATCAGAGCAGTCCCACTGGCACCAGGTTGCGCCGGCTCAGGCATCGGAGGGAGTCTTGGTGGCAGCGTGCCTGCAGGGTCCCACCCCCTGCGGCTGGAATGACAACATATTTCAAGGAAGTAGGTGTTGAACCTACGTGGTGGAGAGCAAGGTACAGAAGTGCACACAGGGAAGCACCAGGCGCTTCGTGGGGGCTGGCAGGGCGGAGAGCTCTGCAGACGAGGGAGCACCAGTTAGTCCCTGGTCGGGATAGCGGTGTCAGCTGGTTGTGAGAGAGGAGGTGAGAGGAACCAGCAAGGGCAGTCGCGTCTACCGCCGAAAGCTCAGCCACACCTGCCCGAGTCATGGGGACTTGCCCGGGCGGAGTCACCTGGGTTCGTGCTTCCTGTCAGTTCTAATTCTACAAGGTGGCGGCTCTCGTTTTAGTTTTTTGAGGACCCTCCATACTGTTTTCCATAATGGCTGCACCATACGATCCAGCAATTCTGGGTATTTAACCAGAGAAAATGAAAACACTAATTTGAAAAGACATACGCACCCCTATGTTCACTGCAATATTATTTACAGTAGCCAAGATGTGGAAGCAACCTAGGTGTCCATCGATAGATGACTGGATAAAGAAGATGTGGTCCATATATATAGGGGATATCATTCAGTCATATAAAGAATGGAATCTTGCCATTTGCAACAACATGGATGGTCCTAGAGGGCACTATGCTAAGAGAGATAAGCCAGACAGAGAGAGACGAATACCATGTGGTTTCACTTATATGTGGAATCTAAAGTAAAACAGATTTGTAGAATTAGAGATCAAACTGATGGTTGCAGGAGGGAAGGGGGGTTGGGGAATGGGTGACAAAGGTGAAGGGGGGTTTCGTCAATGCTATTATGCTAAGTTTGCATGGTGACACGTGATTGCTACTTAGTGGGGTGACCACATTGTAAGGCATGTAAACATCCAATCACTATATCGTACACCTGAAACAAATATGATATTGTGTGTCAACTATACTTAAATACAAAATTAAAAAAAAGAGTAGATTAAACAACCACACACACACAAATTCTGCCATCGATGGTGTCCGCACATCAGCCTGACCCACACTATTACTGGGGACCACAACCACCCGGGTCCACTGGCCCAGGAGCTCCTAGGCCACCCCACGCTTGTCCCATGTCATGTCTACAGTGTATGGAGAACCAGAATCAAGAGCGGTAAACAACTGAACACTGAATACGTGAAATGACTGGTAACAAAGAGAAACCAGCTAAAATCTACCCAGGTGACGTCTGCTAGCCAACTCTCGGATGATGCTCTTATTGGGGAGGAAGTCGATAAGATTTCTGCAACCAGGTTTGGGGATTATCAGTATGCCACTGAGCTACACAAGACTTATCTGCCCTTTTCAGGAGTGTAGAATTTGTTTGGCCTTTTGAGTTTGACTTCGAAAAAGAAAAAAGGCCTCGTTAACCATTGCGCCCATATTTAATTGCGGAAATGAATACTTAGGCACCGGAAGATCATATTGCTAAGCATTAAGTTTTCGATGGCTACAGCCACTAGATCCTAAGTCCTCTCCAATAAGATCCCTTTTCACCGAGGAAAGCAAGAGTCAAAATAACAATGGCCTTAAAAGAATGGTTTACCATGAGGGAAGAAACAGTCTTGACGGATACATTTCCTTGAATGTGCATTCCATGTGAGGATGCATGGCTTTTTCTAAGTGTCCAGGGAGAGAAAAACAGTGAACAAGAGCCTGCAAATATCTAAGAGCAAAGGGAAGCCTTCGGTTAATCCAGACCCCCAGATGTCTGTAGCTGTAATGAGCAAAAGACATCCCACAGGCCAAATCTGGCCTGCCGTCTCTTTCTGAAAATCAAGTTTTGTTGGACCACAGCCACATTCATTCATTTCCATGTTGTCTGTGGTTCCTTTCTTGCTGTACAAGCGGACTGCAGCAGCTGTGACAGAGACCATCTGGCCCACAAGCCTAAAGTATTTACTACCTGGCGCTTTGTGGTGAAAACTTGCCAATTTCTGGTCTGTAGCATAAAAGTGCAAACATTTAACAAACATTTACAAGAACTAAAAAGAAGGCTATTCTTATTACAAAGGCAGTACAATGCATATTTATGGTATAAATTTGGAAAATATAAGGAAATAAAAATAAGGACAGAAAAACACACTCAGAAATAATCAATATTCATATTTTAGAGTATAATCTTTTTCTAAGCATCAATTTTTTAAACAAAAATGAGACCATGTAGGACATGCTGTTTTGCAAACTATATTTTTACTTCTCATGTGATAAAAATCTTTCCAAGTCATTTAATTTTTATGACTACACAAAAAAAAACCATATTATGGATGTATCAAATTTGCTTACCAATCCCTACTTATGATTCCTTAAGTAGTTTTCAATAGTCCTACCATTATAAACACTGATGTATGAAATACCTTGTACCTAAATCTTTGCTCATATTCTTAAGTTTTTAAGAATGAGTTACTAAAAGTAAAATTATGGGTCATGGTATGGTACCTTTTAAGCATCTGGACACATGCTGACAAAATACCCACAAGAACAACCGAGCCAGGGTCCATGCCCACCAACGAGGTATGGGAGAGCCTAATTCCCACCCTCGCCAGCATTGTCAAATACAGAGAAGAACGGTGGTCCCCAACACAAGGTCATAATGCTTACAATTCTCTGATTACTAGTAGGGGGAACCATTTAAAAAAATATACTCAATGGCCACTTATAGTTCTATAATTTCTATCATTTTCTCATTGATTTGTAGGAATCCTTCATATGGCAAAAATTTTTGTATGTTGTAAATATCTTTTCACAGTAGGTCATTTTGTTTTTAAAAATTTATTTACTTCATAGACAGTTTAACAAATACAATTATGAATGTGAAACATGCTCAGTGCAAAGACAATACTCTAATCCAGTAAGCCATAGAGAAATTAAATATCACTTGAAACCACTTCTGCTTCCAGACAAGATGGAGTAAGAGGGACCTGATTTACCTTCTCACCCAAAATAACTGAAAAACTGGATAAAACGGATGGGAAAAAAAAAGACTCTGCAGGTTTTGGAAATTGGGCGAGGAGAGGTTGTAATTTCAGAGATGGTAAACGGATAAAGCAAACCCCACAACTACCCAGCTTACTGATGTGGCAAAGCTTCTCGGGTGTGGCACAGAAGGGAGACACAGGCCAAGGCTGGCAGCCTCCCTGAGTTGGGGTAACAGAGATAGAAAAAGCTGTTAGAGTTTGCAGGAAGAGTAATGGACAGGAGACAGCTGCACAGAGAAAGTCCACATGTCTTCAGAGGGCCTCCCTTAAGCCTTCAGCTGAGTGCTGACCAAAAAATAAGTGAAGTCTGGTGAAAGAACCACTCGAAAAGCTTAGAAGTAAAAGTGCTCGGAGCCCACATATAGGGCTGAGAATAGTGCCTACTGTCAGTTGTTTCCTATTTCCCACAGTGAAAGAGAAAAACCAAATTAACAGGGCATACGAGTACTAAGGGTCTTTCCTCTGAAATAGAAAAGTTAACCATAGACCAAACAGTGCTTTGACCCCACCTAATGATGTTTATAAGCAAGACAAGATAGGATCAACTCTTTCTAAGTAACTTAATTTACCAAGAACAAATCTCAAGTATATTTCTTTTTTTTTTTTTT